GTGGGATTATGGGCATCTCTCTGGGTACTAAACATAAAGAGGGGTCTTATCTTTCAGGAATTGTTCTGGAGGATTGGAGTAAGGCTGGCTTCAAAATCTTTGCCTGAAAATTGTAGACCTGTTAACTTACCGTATTTTTCGCTCCATAAGACGCACTTTTTTTCCCCTCAAAAGTGAGGGGAAATGTCTGTGCGTCTTATGGAGCGAATGTGAAGAATTACTTACCTGTCTTGGAGCGTGGGCCGGCTTCACAGCGCGCTCCGCGGTCCAGGAACTTCTATTTCAGGTTCCGGTTTCCGGCGGGACTGAAAGGAAGTGTGCACACTGAGTGTGCACACTTCCTTTCAGTCCCGCCGGAAACCGGAACCTGAAATATTAGTTCCTGGACCGCGGAGCGCGCTGGAAGCCGGCCCACGCTGTGAAGCCGGCCCACGCTCCAAGACAGGTAAGTAATTATGGGACAAGGGGAGGGGGACACTATGGGAGAAAGGGAGGGGAGGGGACACTATGGGAGAAGGGGAGGGGAGGAGACACTATGGGACAAGGGGAGGGGAGGAGACACTATGGGACAAGGGGAGGGGGACACTATGGGAGAAAGGGAGGGGAGACACTATGGGACAAGGGGAGGGGGGGACACTATGGGACAAGGGGAGGGGGGACACTATGGGACAAGGGGAGGGGGAGACACTATGGGACAAGGGCAGGGGGACACTATGGGAGGGAAAGTGCACTATGGGACAATGGGAGGGGGGGACACTATGGGATCAGAACACTAATGGACAAGGGGAGGAGGGGTTAAAGAACACTATGGGACAGGGTAGGAGGGGTTAACAATCACTATGGGACAGGGTAGGAGGGGTTAACAATCACTATGGGACAGGGTAGGAGGGGTTAACAATCACTATGGGACAGAGGAAAGGGGGGTTAAAGATCATTATGGGACAGGGGAGAAAAAAAAATATTCTGAACAAACTGTCCCATGGTAAGAAACACTATGGAACAGTTTGTTCAGAATATTTTTTTTTCTGGGTTTCCTCCTCTAAAAACTAGGTGCGTCTTATGGTGAGGTGCGTCTTATGGAGCGAAAAATACGGTAATTTCTGTGGCTGGGAAAGTATTTGAATAATAAAAGAATATTCAGGAATTCGTTGGGGAGAGCATTGTTATTAGCAATAATCAGCATGGTTTTATAAAACATAGGTCACGTCAAACTAATTTAATTGCATACTAAGACGAAGTAAGTAGAAGTATATATCAGAGTATTACAGTTGTGATCTACTTGGATTTTGCCAAGGCGTTTGATATGGTTCCTCCTCCTCTTTTTGGATAGACTAGATGGGCCGAATGGTTCTTATCTGCCGTCACATTCTATGTTTCTATGTTTCTCACAACAGGTTAGTGTACAAACTAAAATAAATTGGTCTATGTGGAAGCTCTTGTTCTTGGGTGGAACAGTGGATTAAAGACAAAGTACAGAGAGTTGTCATTAATTGTACATTTTCAAGCTGTACAAAATGGTAAATCGAGTCCCTAAAGGTTCTGTTCTGGGACTGATTCTATTTAATCTATTTATAAATTATCTTGAAATAGGCATTAAAAGTAATGTTTAAGTTTTTGCATATGACACAAAACTCTGAAAAGTAATACAATGTAAACAGAATATTGTTTTGCTGCAGATGGATTTAGATAGATTGGGGGACTGGGCAGTCAAATGGCAGATTAAATTTAATGTAGAAAAATGCAAAGTTATGCACTTTGGGGTCAAAATTGCATATGCAATTTATGCCTTAAATTACACTGAATTAGGGATGACAACACACAAGAAAAAATTGGGAATTGTTGAAGGCAACAAATTAGGCAACAATGTGCAATGTCAATTGGCAATTGCTAAGGCCAGTGAGGTATTGTCATGTATAAATAGGGACATTAATTCTCGGGATGAAAATATAATTTTGTCTCTTCATAAATCACTGGTAAGACCACGTCTTGAATATACTGCACAATTTTGGGCACCTGTTTAAAGAAAGATAGCATGGAACTAGAAAAAGTGAAGAAGTGGGCTACAAAATGAATGGAACATTTTAGTTATGAAGAAAGGTTAAAAAATGTGAATCTCTTTAGTTTGGAAAAACGACGCCTCAGACGGGATATGATAGCATTATACAAATATATTTGGGGCCAATACAAACCTACTCACAAACAGTACTACACATAGGACACCAGGTCACACATTTAGACTGGAAGAAAGGAGATGTAGTCTAAAACATAGGAAAGGGTTTTTTACAGTAACAAAGGATGTGGAATTCTCTGCCTAAAGAGGTGGTTTTAACAGAGCCTATACAGATGTTTAAGACAGCAATTGGATAAATACTTGCACAAACTTAATATTAAGGTATATCATTTTTAATTAGTGGGTTAATAGCTTCTTGATCCAAGGAGATATGTGACTGCCGTTGTGGGGTCAAGAAGGATTTTTTTCCTAGTTTGTTGCAAAATTGGAGGCGCTTCTTGCCTTCTTTAGCATCAACAGCAAAAACAAACGTGAGATAGGCTGAACTTGATGGACACATGTATCTTTTCAGCTATGTAACTACGTAATGTCCTGATTTGTGAAATCTCTTTTTGGGCCTGGATAGACTGCTAATCCAACTTAGATCTGCTTGTGTGAGTAGAGTAGGATATTGAGTACAACATAGCAAGACAGCTAGTATCTCTGTGTGTAGCATGCACCTGGGAGGGCAGCTTGGGGGTTGAGAGAAAGAGTGAAAGTTAAAGGGACACTCCACTAAAATAAAAAAACTACAAATATTCAAATATGTTTTCAGATCTACCATGAACTACATATGAAAACATACATGCATTTAATTACGTTATTGTTCCACAGCTTGCAAAAGCTGAAGATCTCTTGTCTACAACCTTTGCAAATCCCCCTCTTCTAACCCCACCTAGATTTTCTGTGGCTGTCCAATCACAGACTTCCCAATACAGCTTAATGAGACGTCTTTGCAAGGCTGATGCTCTGAGCAATGGCTGCCTTTTGAGTTTAGTTTCACTGTGCTAGACAAACAAGGAAGAAACAGGACCTGTTGTCTGATTAACAGCCAGGGAGTATAACCAGGTTAATTTATAAAAATGCCAGTTTTTATTGAAAGGTTCATTTGGGGGTCCACAATGACACTTTAAGGGAGATAATGGGATGGGGCTATGGATGACAACAAGTCAGAGTGTGTACAGTCATGTGGGAGCATTATGGGCAATTTCATAACAATGGAAGCAGCACTGGAACAACAACAATGGAATGAGAAATATATTATATATGCATGGCATATGTGAAACACTAATATGCGCCACTCATTGTAAGCTCCTCCAGATAGAGTTAAAACTTGTGACAGTCCATGTTGTCTTCACCTAGAAAAATCCAGATAATTGCAGCTTCAGCTACTCTAGGACTTCTCACTCATGCAGTGAGTTCTTACATAGATCGAGACTTGTAGTTGATGCAATTTCCTGCTGTCTGTGTGAACCTTTATCTACATACAATCAGCAGCGAGATGAAAAACATGTAACATATTACTGGATTATAAACGAATGTGTACATGCTCAGTTGACACATCTCAGCTTTCGTCTAACCTCTCCAAGAATGAATAACTGCAATTTTAAACTAAAATATTTTTGAAAAGGACAATATAGATACAGAAGAAATATGCACGTCCACTTTATCAGTCAAGCTAAGACTAGAAACAGCGTAGATTCCCATCAGAGACAGGTTTATGTCAATCCATTCTTGCATAATATACTGTAGAGAGGAAATGAAAATAAACACTTTAGTAATAATGCTGCTCATTAATTATTATTATTATGAAGTATGGCAGATACAGTTATAGTGTAATTATTGACATATATTTATAGATATTGCTTGTTCAAACTACAGAATTCTATGTCCTATTCTTAACAAGATCAAAATAGTATTTCATTTTTCTGCAGTTGATTAAAAAAAAAGTTCCATTGAGTTAGGTAAATCAGAGAAAACTCAATATATTTATTAATTAGATTTTTTTAAAAAGTGTATAAAACATTGCATACATTTTGGTAACTTGTCTCTGCAGGTTTGGAAGGTAATAATTGAATTATTTAATATTACACATCTTCTGCATTTTCTAGCCGTCATTTGATGCAATACATATGAGGCTTCTCTTCCGTGTTTGCGCTAGTTTTGTGAAATTGTGCCATTTTCTTACTCCACCTTTACACAATGGGGACATTTTTTCCATAATTTTTTTTTTTTTTTTAATTCTTTATTTTTCTTGTGCGTGGAAATAACAGGCATGAATAATGTGCCACAGCAGCACATTATTATCCAACAAATTCACAATTTGGCACTATAGAACTGCACATTTTTTTTCTTTTTAAACAGTTTGGTACAAGTTATACACCTATTGTAAGCTTATATTGATTGGTGTCGTGTGAGTGCAAGAGCAGTGTAGAGTAACACGTTAGGTTTAGCTTTTGCGTGAGAGTGAGTAGCAGCTACTTAGTTTGGTTCATCGCGGGTTAAACATGCTATGCTTTAGTAGCGGGTTGTGGAAATGCGGTGAGGCATGTGAATGTTGTACACACTATCTATAATATAGGCATAATTAAACAGGCTGAGTGAACTGTTAAAACACGAGTAAAAGAAAGGTTACCAGGTAGACCGGCATATAGATATGAGAGTAGCAGGTGTCCGACCATCCGGGAACGCAACCTGCGTGTGTGACACAACATTATACGGTCATTATTGTATTGTTATAAAAATGCCAAGCGCAATAATAGAAAAAAAAAGAAAAGATCAGGCATTTAGGATATCTTAAGTGTGTTTACTGGTTTTAGCGAGTCTCAATTAGGGAAGCTGCTGTGTGGTCTGGACAGGGTCCTTTACGGCAGAGGCTCTAAGCATGGACCCCTGCGCTTTCCTGGTATGTACATTCCCGTTCAGCCTATGCTCAGTGTGGGAAATGGCTTTAAGGTTGTGGATGAGTCCCACTCAGTGATGTCCTCTGGCTTAATTTTGTTTCCAACGTGTGTCCATAAGGCTGCCTCCTGTGTAGTGGTATGCTGCCCAGCTTGTGCCTTGAGGAGTGAATTAGTGGCACTCTGTTCCGCGAGTCGTGGGTTAGGTGAGCTGCTGGTGTGTGGGGGCTGTTTCTTGTCCCTGCTCCAAGGCTTGTTGGAGTGGTTGTGTACGCCCGGTTTGCAGGGCTCGTTTTCCGGCCGTTGTGGTCTCTGCTGCTTGTGGGGTCGGATGTCTGCCTTGAGGGCCCTGAGGGCCTGGAGTGGGAGCCCAAAATGGCGTTGTCTGCCAGACGGATCCACAAGGCCATCGTTCGGGATGCAGCCTGGGCATACAATGCTGCTCAGAGGCTCAAGTAAAGCCAGTCTCCCGTCTGCTGTTTCGATCTGCTTGATTAGCGGGGTCCGGGATAACCCCCCCCTGATCCTGGGGGGGAGGGAGAAGTCGAACCACAAACTCTTTGGGGGGGTCCAGTGTTGGAGAGAGCAGCCGCCTCTCCCCGGCTCCAGCTGCAGTAGGCCGCACCTGGTTTTTCGGTCCCCTGACTCCGATTGGCCCTGGTAAGGTCTTGGTCGATACAGGAGTGCACCCCCGACATGGGTAGTGCACCCCGGTGAGTACTTGGACTATGTAGTTGTCGATTGTGCCCAGTTTTCTGCCCGATGTTCAGGAGCTCTTGTCCCCTGCTTCCGTACTGCTAGGCGGTCAGGCTCCACCCCCCCCCTTTTCCATACTTTTTATTACTCTTTGAGATTTTTTGCTCCTTTTTTTTCCTGATTATTTTACCATATACCGGTATTATATTCAAACAAATAAGACAAATGATTAATATGTACTAGGAAAAAATGGCCTCTATTGTAAACAAAAACTGCATTCTCATTCTAAAGTAGCCCTTAAAGGGAAACTATAGTGCCATTAAAATAAAGTTGTTTTCCTGGAATTATAGCTCCTGATGGTGCCCCACTAAATCCATGCCCCTCATGTGTTGTATCAGCCACTCAAAAAAAAATTCCAAGCTGTCAGCATCTTTATCATAGCAGTCAAGTGAATCTGACTTAATTGACCACTGACATGTTTGAGCCTCAATACCTGCAGATGATGCAGATCAGGAACAACAGGATGTCATTTAGACATACTGTATTCAGTTTGTAAAATATATTGAATCCCTGGTTTCCTTTCAACCATTAATGTAAGGTATTTGTTTATGTAAAGACCATATTGATTACTTGTACATTTACTACCCAAATAATTGATTTTCTGATTATCGCTTTCATGAAATGCACAGAAAATATTAACCACGTCAACATAGAAGATTTAAAAGCCCCAGGAAACCCCTTAACCTTTGTATAAACCTCTTTTGTAACAAATGTTGGTAGGGGAATCTAATTGCAGGTACTCCATCAAGCACTATATTCACCTGAGAACGATTTTTGTTTTCTACATAGTGTTAGGTAACTACCCAGCAAATATGTAAATCCCCAGGTATTGGGATTTTTTTTTTATTTGGTATCCTGTTTCATTCCTGGATTGACAGGTAGACGCATGAAAGTTTCACACATGAACATCCACCAATCTCTCTGATCTGTCTTGAAAGTAAAGCATTCCAAGACATATTACGACATATGCTGGAGGGCTGCAGGTGTGTGAGATTACCTTGTAAAAAACTGATGTGGTCAAATTGCAACCGGATGTTTACATTTCAGTTTCATTACATCTGAAGGACCCTGCATTGTGTTAGTCATACAATTTGCACAATGTAGACAATACATTTACTCGCAGACAATAATGAGCAGAGCCAATATATGTATAGCCAGAAAACAATGTGGTTGAGGAAATAGCTGAACATAAAAATCCACTCCGAGAGTATATTTACACTTAATTCTCATTCAATGATTATCTTTAATTATTTTGTGTTTATCGAGTGTATTATCTTTTTTCCGATATATTTATCTTTCATTGTACGTTGAAGGATTGTATGGAGTAACTATCACACTCTGTGTTTGTTTCTAAAAGTCTTTATTGGATGTAAATATGGATGGATAAAATGTCTCTATTAAAGAACTTGGACCTCAATTTATTACCGTTGGATAAGCATTTTAAATTACTTAATATTTTTGGATACATTTTTAAAACCATGTAATATTATTTTTTTAAAAGTTAATATTTTGATATTTCTTTTATCATTTGTTTAAATAGATTTAAATATTTAGAAAAAATATTTTTAAAAGTTTATCCAAAAATATTAAATCATTTGAAAAGTTTATCTAGCAATAATAAATTGAGGGCCTAGTACGAAACTGGATCAACTCCTTGAAGAAGACATGTATATGTAGCGTTACTTACCTTAACCGGGGGCCGGTCGCGGTCCTCTCTTCAAGCTGCGCGCGGTCCTGCGGCTGCACGAGCCGCGCGCGGCTCATCCGACTGCTTTGGATGGAAGGCGGGCAGTGACCGCGTGAAGCGGTCACGTGTCCCGCCTGAAACTAAGAGCGCGCCGCGAGTCTCGGGCGCGCTCTTAAAGAGACAGTGGGAGCCTAATTGCCAAAAGGCTCCCATTGGCTCCTGTCATACCACACTCCCTGTACAATTACCTATAGGGGGTGTGGAAGTGACAGGAGCCAATCACTTTCGTTTAAAAGCTATTTAAACTTACCTTTTTCCCTTAGCTCGTTGCCCTATCGTGGTTTCTGTTTCAGTTCCCTTTAGCGCTTGTGGTGTTCAGTTGTGTTTTCTCGTATTGACTTTGGCTTCGTATTCTGACTTCGTTTTCGCTTTATCCTTATCTGTACTGTTTGCCGGCTTGCTGTTTTCCGTGTACCAGACCCCGGCTTGTCCTAGTTTACGCTGTCTCTCTGTGCCCTTGACCTCGGTTTGTTCCTGGCTCTGTCTCCTCTCATATACGTCGAGTCCGGCCATTCTAAGGTCCGGTAGACGTATCTCTCCTCTGTATTTGCCTCTGTTTAGCTGGATCCTGCGTGTAGGGGTATATTCTCGTTACATTACGATAGGGCCATGGACCCCGCAGATTTAGCTCAACAGATGGCGTCCCATGAGGCAAGATTTGTAGAGCAGGATCACCGTATGGATCAGATAGCTCAGGCTCTCCAGACGCTCCTAGCTAGAACCGTTCCAGCAACCACACCTAACCCTCCTACGCCCCTTCTCCCTGAAGTATCTACTTTGCCTAATACTTCGGCCCATTTAACACCTCCTCCTAGGTATGGAGGGGACTCTAAGACTTGCAGAGGGTTTATTAATCAAATTGAATTTCACTTCGAAATGTATCCACGTTCATTTCCCACAGAGAGGTCTAAGGTTGGGTTCTTTATGCACCAACTTACCGATAAGGCACTTGAGTGGGCAAATCCTATTTGGGAAGCTAATGGACCTATGGTACATGATTTCAACAGTTTTCTTACGGCTTTTCGTAGAACTTTTGACACAATGAAAAGGTCAAAGAATGCCGCGAGAGCATTAATGAGAATTAAACAGGGTTCTAGATCTGTGGCTGATTATGCTATTCAGTTTCGCACTCTTGCTTCGCAGGTAGATTGGACCAACAATGGGTTAACTACTGCCTTTATGGAAGGTTTGTCAGATACGATATTGGATGAGGTAGCAGCTAAGGAGCTTCCTATTGCCTTAGAGGACCTTATCGATTACCTCATTGATATAGATAATAGAATTCGTGACAGGCTCTATACCAAGAACAGGAATAGACGTTTTGTTACACCCATTAACCCCAGAGTTAATATACCAGAGAGTGTTAAAGTGTCTGAGGAGGAACCTATGCAATTAGGGGTTGCCAAACTCTCTGATACTGAGAAATTACATAGGAGAAGGGAGGGACTCTGCCTATACTGTGGTAGGAGAGACCATATGGTAAAGGAATGTCCTTTACTCCCGGAAAACTCTCGCACCTAAGACCTTATAGGGGACTGGCCTTGGGTGTGATATCTAAGTCTCCTAAATTGCCTCCTAACCGCTTGCTTCTCCCGGTTTCTTTATATATGGGAGAGATTTGTATAGTTGACAACATATATGCTCTGGTTGACTCTGGGGCAGCTGAAAATTTTATAGACTCTGGCTTTATAAAGAGAAACAACATTCCCATCAGAGAGAAGGAGATACCCTTGGCCGTTGAGGCCATAGATGGTAGACCATTAAGTTCTCCAGGTGTTACTCATGAGACTGTACCATTACACATGTACACAGGGGTTTTACACTATGAAACCATTCAATTCCAGGTCATCACCTCTCCCTCTTCACAGTTAGTATTAGGGTATCCATGGTTACGTGCTCACAATCCCATTTTTGACTGGGAGACAGGGCAAATAAAATCATGGAGTGAGGCCTGCCACGAGTCTTGTACGTTGGAAGTCACACCTTTGAATTCTATTGAGGTACCTACCAGTCCTCCTTTGTCTACGGTTATACCCCCTCAGTATTTATCTCTAAAGACTGTTTTCGATAAAAGGGAGGCTGAGAAATTACCGCCTCACAGACCCTATGATTGCGCTATTGACTTGTTGCCTGGCACTATACCTCCAAAGGGCAGGGTGTACCCCTTATCGGTTCAAGAAAACCGTGTCATGGAGGAGTATATTAAGGAATCACTAGAAAAGGGGTTTATTAGGAGATCCTCTTCTCCAGCTGGAGCAGGGTTCTTCTTTGTATCGAAGAAAGAAGGTGATTTAAGACCGTGTATAGATTATAGAGGTCTAAACAAAATCACTATCAAAAATGCATACCCTATACCTTTAATTACAGAATTATTTGACAGGCTGAAACATGCCACTGTGTTCACTAAATTAGACCTTAGGAGTGCATACAATTTGATACGTATAAAGGAAAATCACGAATGGAAGACTGCATTCAACACTAGATCCGGTCATTACGAATATACTGTTATGCCATTTGGGCTTTGCAATGCCCCAGCAGTATTCCAAGAATTTATTAATGATGTCTTAAGAGATTTTATTCACACATTTGTTATCGTATACTTGGACGACATTTTAATATATTCTACAGATATACACACTCATCACAGACATGTTACGACAGTTTTGAAGACCCTTCTTGCTAATGGTCTTTATTGCAAGCTAGAAAAATGTCTGTTTGACCAAACCGAAGTCCAGTTCTTGGGGTATTTGATTTCCGCTAAAGGTTTTCGTATGGATCCCCAGAAACTTGCTGCTGTAATAGAATGGCCTCTACCGCAAGGTCTGAAAGCTATTCAGCGTTTCCTTGGGTTCTCCAATTATTATAGACGTTTTATCAAAGGTTTTTCGTCCATTGTAGCACCTATTA